ACGAAATGCTCAAGAAAGAGTTATAAGCACCCATCTCTCTTCAAATTTCACACACACAAACATTTTTGCTAACACAAGATCTGTTGTGAAGGTGGTATATATCTGCGAACCCTTCTGGTACCTCACCCACAAAGGGTCCAAATTTTAAATACTTGTATCTGTCATAACTTGCGAACCAAGTCAGCGATTCTTTACAACTTGCTATATCTAAATATTTCTCTCAACCACAAACCCGAGATTAATATGGAATTTATGATTCCGCATAAAAGTGGATGTATATTTTATCTATATAAAATGAAGTATGACAACTCAAAAAGCAGCCGGGGCTAATCTTGAATACCCTCCACCATTTGGAGGGAATTTGCATATTAAAGAATACTGTTAAAAATGGGGTCTATACGAAAACGTGGACCTGCATAGGCATGTTTTGTCATAGGAAACTTGAAAAAATCCGGTGAATAATGTCGCAAAAACATGAAAATACCGAATATAGGGAGGTGCCGATATATGGGGCTATAAGATTTGGACCTGCATGGGCAATTTTATGTCAAAGGCTGAAGTACCCATTACGAACTGCAAATACGAAATATGAAACAATTCCGGTGAATAATGTCGCTACTATTTCGCGGTACTATTAAATGGGTGCTATACCAAAACCAGGACCTCTATAGCTCATTTTCAATACAAAAAGTCCTGCAGACCAAACATTTATCTGAGTAAAATTTTATTAACCTACTTCAATTCATCCATACGCTAGAGTCATATTTTAATAATCGAACATTGGCTGAGGTTATACATCTGTCGGCAAACCCGACTTTTTAATTTGTTGTTATTTACAAACCTCATTCAAGTTTCTGGCTTAGTAATTCATTCATTTATTTCTGTGCTCATAATCAACATCATATATTCTGTAGTTTTTCTTCGATCGTTTCGGCCTGCATTACCTAACTTCGGGGAGGACGTTTCCCCTTTTTCGTAGTTACTTTATGAACTGTTAGAGACTATATTTTTCGCACACACACACAGACACACCAGTATTTTCACTCCCCCTTGTAGTTACATATTTCGTTGATTGAGTTTAGTACAGAGACTATGGCTATGGGAATGAATTTACTATCGAACAACTTTAAAATAAATGGCCACCCTCCAAAGCTCTCCTCCCCTCTGCTAAATGCAACATAGTTACGAATTAATAAATCATTAATACGCAGCATTCATTTAACCGCACTCAGAGGCGTTGTTGTTGTTGTTTGTCTTTAAAACTTTAACGTCCACCGACCATAATCAACGCAAGCAAAGACAAGCAGCGCCTTTTTTGAAAAAAAAAAAAAAACAAAGGTGGAAAACTATGAAAAACCCCGGCAACTAGCACCAGGGACCAACAATAGCCTATCACCAGCATTGTTAGCTATTATGCATTATTTTTATTAATTTTTCATGGGATGATAGCAACGAGGTTAGACTAAACAGGTGTAGACAATTCAGAACTTGAAGCAAAGTCATTAAATGCTAAAAAATTCGACCAAATGTGTAACGCGATATAATTTTGGTAATAGTTAAAGATGATGGTATGTGTAAGCAATGTTGCTTTATATCACATTTATATGACTATAGAGTGGGGAATGTAATTCAAAAAGTATTGGCAATGAAGTATAGGGGACCAGGGCTCAAACTCGAAACAATCGACTGCGGAAAGATAAAATCAGTCACATAATTACACTGTGTAACACAAAAAATAATTACGAGGAAAAATTCAGCAGCATAGCTAAAAAAAGAAGAAAGCTACCATCGCAAAGTAACCTAGATAGAGGGTTCCCTCCTCTCCCTCCCTCCTAAATAGAGGGTTCCTTCCTCTTCCATACTTTTGGAAATTTTCAGATAAAGATTTCTCGGAATCCGTGCATTTTAAGCATAAATTGTCTTCGGTAATATAGCAAATACAAATACGAGGAATATTTTGGTAGGAACTTTTAATCCTCAACAAAGGGTCCTTTTATTAAAAGTCAAAATATTCTACAAAACATCTTTACAATACAATCTACACAATAAGTACTCAAAATACAAATATTGGCGAAATTAAATAAAACCAGTAAAAAAGCCGCTAAGTTCTGCCGTGCCGAACTTTTAATACCCTCCACCATTTTTAAGGATCTTAAATAATTATTTTGAAGAAAATGCCACTTAAATGAAAATCGTTATATGGGGGATATACGAAGACGTGGTGGACCTGCATAAGTAATTTTCTGTCATAGGCTGTAATATCGATTCTGAACTTCAAATACAAATTTTGAAACAATTCTAGTGAAAAATGACCTTTGTATGAGGACTATACCAAGACGTTGACCTGCATGAGTAATTTTCTGTCATAGGCTGTAGTATCGATTCCGAACTTCAAATACGAATTTCGAAACAATTCCCGTGAATAATGTTGCTTATATCATTAAAATACCGGATAAAGGGAGGTACTGTTGTGTGTGGGCTATACGAAGACGTGGACCTGCATAGACAATTTTCTGGCATAGGTTGTAGTACTTCTTACGATCTTCAAACTTTAAATACGAAATTCGAAACAATTCCACTCAAAACTGTCGTTAAAATCATCAAAATACCGAATATCGGGGGGTACCGTTATATGGAGGCTATACGATATCATGGATCTATATAGACAATCTTCTTCCATGGGGTAAAGTACTCAGAAGGTACTCCTTGTGTGGGTTTTCAGACAATTCTATAGGGAAATATGGCTACAATCTTAAAAATACCGAATATCGGGAGGTACCGTTACATGGGGGATATACGATATCGTGGACCAACATATATTGACAGTTCTCTTACAGGTGTTAAAGTACTCAGAAGGAAAGGAGTGCAGAATTTTAGACAATTCCATTGAAAAATCATTAAATACCGAAAATCGGGGGAACCGTTATATGGGGGCCATACGATGTAGTGGACCGATATAGCCCATCTTCGAACTTGACCTGCCTGCACACAAAAGACTGATCTACATTACAGCAGACGGACGGACGGAAAGTGCTAAATCGTCTTAGATGAGATGAAAAACTGCAACAAACTTCAGACTGCTGTCATTTCTAAGCCACTTGTCCGACAGCTATTAAAATTATTCCAGTGACAGCTCATTTTATTGTTTACAAGCGTAAAAAAAGCGTTTTGTTGAGAATTTTCCAGAAAAAAAGTTATTCGTGATGGAATTCAAGCGCGAAAGTTTGATTTCTTTATATCTTTTGTGTCTCGTACCATCGCTCGTTACCGTGATACTGGTAGCGTAGCCCAACGTCAAGGAAGTGGACGGAAGAAGACAGCAACACCAGAAGAAATGGTTCGAAAAGTAAAGAAGCGACTTGATTGAAACCCGCGTCGAAAAATGGTTCGTAAGCTGAACATATCGCAATATTCCATTCGGAAAATATTGAAAAATGAGCTCGGGGTAAAGCCATTGAAATTCCAAGAAGTGCAAGAACTTACACCGCAACAGAAAGAAAATAGACTCAAAAGAGCTAAAGAGTTGCTTCGCTTGGCCGAAAGTGGTGAACTGTCGAATTTGGCTTTCTCCGATGAGAAAAGATTCGTTGTCCAGCAGTTTGTAAACAAACAAAATTATCGTGTTTACTTGCCAAAGAGGTCAGCTGAAAATGTGCACCTTCGGTTGGCCACCAGAACTGAAGCGCCGGCCATGGCGATGGTATGGGCCGTTATAACAACGGATGGTCGCTCTCCGCTCGTATTAATCGGCCATGGCATCAAAATAAATTTCGAATATTATCGCGAAAATATTCTGGAGGGTCTATTAAAGCCTTGGGCACGCAAACATTTTGGCCCCAGACCTTGGACATTCCAACAGGACTCAGCACCATCGCACTCAGCACGCGCCACCCACGAGTGTTTACAAAATGAGGTTCCTCGCTTCATTTCCAGCACACAATGGCCACCAAAATCTCCGGATGCCAATCCGTTGGACTATTGTGCTGGAGTATTTTGGAAAGCAAGGTTGGCATTAAAAAATGGCAAAGTGTCGATCACCTCAAGCAAGCGCTTTGCCGGGAATGGGCCCAAATACCGCAGAGCAACGTTCGGGCAGCGTGTGACGGTTTCATTGGCCGTTTGAAGGCCATAATTCGTGCCAAAGGTGACCAATTCGAACAAATTTAAACTTATTCTAAAATGTTGTTGTTGCAAAATGGTCAGGCTTTATCCCTTTTATTCTTGTTTTTATAATAACAACGTTTGATGCTATTTCCGACATTTTGTGCTTTCATTCAATAAAATTTTAAAAAAATGTAAAAGTTATGGCGTTTGATTTTATTGCAGTTTTTTTATATCACCCTGTATGTGATTTTATTGTACTAGTAGTATTTTTATCGTACATGCCAAAAAAATAATGATCTTTCGATCTAACGAGATATGAATAATGAGAGTGAGAGATTCGTACCAGAGGACCAATATTTTCTATCTTCACTCCCGAATTAAGTCTGATAGAAATATCTCCATGTACCATATTTGGAGTATGTATTGGATTCTCGACTCGTATGACTTTTTTCGAAAATATTGAATTTTTGTACAGAAGATATCAGAAAGAAAGAGAGAGATTAAAGAGAGAGATCAGAGAGAGACAAAAATATTGGAATGTGAAAATTTGGAAAAAGAAATAGGACACTTTAAGGAAATTATTGTTATTCGAAATATTTTGAAATATTTCAATGAAATTAAAAGATTAAATATGTTTGATTCAAAGTTCCATAATTCACATCGAATGCAAAAATAGTTCCTCTACAGAGGTTAAGAGATTGCAGTCGAACCAATGTTGTGAGCAACAAATATTTTCCCAAGCCCTCTTCCCCGTATCACCACACACATTTCCTTAGACTCATTTCCAACTTACTTTCATTAATTCGCTCATGGAAAAAATACAACCACCTCCCCTGTAACTTCAAGGTTTCCCCCGAACAATACAAAACTAAAAGTAACTCCCCCATTCGACTTACCTTCAAACTATTGTAAGGCCTTTCCACCTTCAATTTAGCGTTAATGCCATCACGATTCTCCTGTTGCTCATCTGGTGGCAATGAAGTCATCGATAGCGAAGTTTTTATATTAGATAACGATGACGATGAATCATGACCGCGGCCATGCATGTTGTGACCGCCGTCAAGACATTTCGAAGATTTATTGCGTTTCTTTTTCTTCTGGTGCTGTGGCAGGGATGCCGAGGCCGCAGCCAATAGAATTGATTTATTTTCATTTGGTTTTTGAGGAGTTACAAATTGATTAGATGTATGGGAGGCGGACGCCGAGGCCGATGCCGAGGAGGATGAAGTTGCTGATGTGACAGAGGATACCAAAGAAGATGCAATGCCGGCAGAAGGATCTGCGGCAGTGGCCAAGTTGCTTGCGGTATCTTGTTCATCTTTATTGTCGTCATCGTCAGCATCATTAGCTGAGTTAGATGCAGCAATTGGTAACGGTGCTGTTGTTGTTGTAGTTGTAGTTGCATTAAAATAAGTCGATGCCGAAGACAAGGCAATTGCTACTGCAGCTGTGGCAGAATTCTCTTGCATACCTTCGTTGGTCTCTTCGGACATCATGGCCGCTAGTAGATCAGTCTCTTGGTTGCTCGTATCATTTGAAGCCATTGCAGCCACTGCAATAAGGCTCGGTGCTGAGGTGCTGGAGGGTATTGTTTTTGTTGGTGTTGGAGTTGTTAAATTGCAATTCTCCATATTTTCACTAGAAGTCAAATGAACATTTGACTGTTCGTTGTTTTCATTGGCAGGAATATCATCCATCTGGCCATCCATTTCTATTGCTGCTTTATAAGGTTTAGAGTTTTGACATATCTGCCTTGTGTTTGTGCTTCGTTACTGAAATGGAAAATTGAAGGGAAAATCAATTATTAAATTAAATTTCGTATTATCGTTTGTTATTTACAGCGGAAATGAATTAATATATTCGGAAGAAGCCTGCAATTGGCGAGTGACACGTTTAGAATAAATGTTGAATTTTAATTAGAAAAAAAAGTAAAAAAAGGAAACGACAGTTAAAAATGGCTCGACAATAAAACAAACGAACACCTTACAACATGTTTGAGGTGGCAACAAAAATCATATTAAATGCATTCATTGTTCCGTGCCATAAACAGAACAGAGCTGGCCATCAAGAAGGGGGAATAGAACGAAAAAAGTGGAAAATAAACAACATTTCAATTTCACTTTTGAGTTGATGTCTTCATGAACACTCTGGCTTATCTTATCTTTTCTTTGGTAACTCAGTTACCAGCAAAAGCACGATTTTTTAGAGATTTTGTTTTCACTCTGATACTAATACTAATGTAAGGTGATGTTGTTGTTGTAGTAGAACTTACAATTTAATTAATCGATAAGAAATGAAGTGTTAACAAAACTATATCAGTTAGATGGTCGCACAGTGGGTCAAATAGTACTATATTTTAGTTGCTGTTCATTGGCACCAAACTATAATTGGAAATGAATGGGTAATTCCGCCCAAATAAAATAGAAAGATGGCTTAGGGTACTGGAAGTTTGGCACGTAGCATCTTATGGAATATTTGAACTAGGTAATAATTTAGCACAAAGATTGCTGGAATAATTTAAGGCTTCATTTTAAAATGTAAAACTATTTAATGTTTTCGTTTAGTTGTTATTACGAAGTGGTCATTTTTTTATAATTAGCTATTTTTTTTTTATTCATGCGAGGTCTATGCTATCTTGGGGCGGGGTGGTGTGTACGAGAAGCAGTGAATCGATATTTTCCATCACTCCTAAATTATGTTTGATATAAATTCTAAGTTTAGACTATATAGAGTACCCGAGATTCGTTGTATGTGTGATATATGACCTTTTTTCGAAATTTTTATACTTTGTGGGAGATTTTTTGAAAATCGAATACGGAAGCTAATATTGTTAAAAAATTTCACCTTTTTATCGCTCCTGACCTAAGTTTGACAAAAATAATATTACAACGGACCAAGTTTGCCTATATGAGATACTCGATTCATTTTATACATAAGATTTTCTCGACCTTTTTGAACGTTTGTGTGGGAGGTTCCCATTAGGTTTATCATATATCTTCCATTTGACCACAATATACAATATAGACACAAAAATATTAGGTTTTAAAAATGTTGAAAAAAAACGGTAGCTAATTTTTATCCCCTCCGCCTTGGAAAAGAGGGTACATTAAATTTGTCATTCCGTTTGTAACATCTCCAAATATTCGTTGTAGACCCCATAAAGTAGTATACAGGGTGAAATGAAAAAAACTGCAACCAACTTCAGACTGCTGTAATTTCTAAGCCTCTCGTCTGACAACTGTTTAAATTATTCCAGTGATAGCTCATTATATTGTTTACAAGCGTACAAAAGAAAAGAAAAAAAGTTATTCGCGATGGAATTCAATTCGCGATGGAATATATTTGGCTGGAAAACCTCAAGTGGCTATCGTTTGAGCACTCCAGCATTTAAATGTGAATAAATCTTTTGTGTCTCGTAGCATCGCTTGTTACCGTGATACTGGTAGCGTAGCCCGACGTCAAGGAAGTGGACGGAAGAAAACAGCAACATCAGCAGAAATGGTTCCAAAAGTAAAGAAGCGACTTGATTGAAACCCGCGTCGCAGTGGTCGAAAAATGGTTCGTAAGCTGAAAATATCGCAATATTCCATTCGGCAAATATTGAAAAATGAGCTCGAGGTAAAGCCATTGAAATTCCAAAAAGCGCAAGAACTTACACCGCAACAGAAAGAAAGTAGACTCAAAAGAGCTAAAGAGTTGCTTCGCTTGGCCGAAAGTGGTGAACTGCCGAATTTGGTTTTCTCCGATGAGAAAACATTCGTTGTCCAGCAGTTTGTAAACAAACAAAATGATCGTGTTTACTTGCCATAGAGGTCAGCTGAAAATGTGCACCTTGTGATGGTGTGGTACGTTCGTATTAATCGACCGTGGCATCAGAATAAATACCGAATATTTTCGCGAAAATATTCTGGAGGCCTTGGACATTCCAACAAGACTCAGCACCATCGCACTCAGCGCTCGCCAGCCAATAATAGTTACAAAAAGAGGTTTCTCGCTCCATTCCCAGAGCACAATGACCACTAAAATCTCCGGATACCAATCCGTTGGACTATTGTGTCTGAGGTATTTTGGAAAGCACGGTTGGCACAAAAAAATAAAATACCAAAGTGTCGATCACCTCAAGCAAGCGCTTCGCCGGCAATGGGCCAAAATACCGCAGAACAAAATTTGAGTGGACGGTTTCATTTTCAACAAATCTAAACTTATTCTAAAATTTTATGCTATTTCCGACTTTTTTGGTATCATTCAATAAAACTATGGCGTTTGACTTTGTTGCAGTTTTTTATCTCACCCTGTAGAAACATGATCGGCATACAATTCTAAGTCTATTTAACGATGTTCGCCTGTTTGTATGTCTCTATGTTGAAATCAGGATACAGTCCAGCTTTAAAATACAGTCGAACTTTGGAATTCGGCACAATAGTTATTTTATCTAGAATGGTTGGCATTAAAATTGAGAGATATGACATTAAAGTTGAGATGGTCTGCTGTCGAAAACGAGAATATTATACTCGAAGTTTGGTGAAAATATGACAAAGTACCAAATTTGGGTTAAATCGGGTAATCTATTCCGAATATGCAACGCACGCCAGACAGGCGGACATAGCTAAATCAACTCCAAATAGCTGGGAACGGAATTCATTTAAATGTACCTTTGGATTTTTTTTATAAAAAAAAAAAAAATTGAAAAAAATTGAAAATTCAAGATAAAGAAAATTAATTATATCCTCAACAATTTCAAAACTTGATTTTTAGCGCAAACCCCTAAATCTGGAGGAATGGAGGATGTACCAAAAATTGACCTATATTAAATATTTTTGCGAAGGTTAAAACACTCACTAAAAACCCTAAATGTCCAATTGTAGCTGATTTGATTGGAAATGGAGGTCCAAAATCAGGAGGTATCGTTACATTGAATATTTTTTGCAAGGAGTTCAACTACCCACTGAGAACCCGAAATACCAAATAACTTGAAAATTGGACCTATACCCTCGAAATCAGGAGGTACCGTTATATGAGGATCTTAGAACCCGAAATACTAAATAATAATTGCTGATTTGTTTCGAAAATTGGACCTATACCCTCGAAATCAGGAGGTACCGTTATATGAGGATCTTAGGGGATTGCAAATATATATGCCAGATTTTGTCATTTTGAAAATTCATTTATCTTGAAAATTGTAGCCCCTATTTTAAATTCGACAGATGGATGAATGGAGAGACGGAGACGGCATCGGCATATAATTTTTTGCTGATCACGAATGTATGTACTTTTTGGGGCCTCCAAAGATTTTGAGGTGTTAAAATGTAACCGTCATCTTATAGCAAAGGATAATATAATCTTTCTATCCAAGAATCTAGAGATTTTGAAATTTTTCATACCAACATTTACGAGCTGAATTCGTACGAAGCGTTTTCTGAAGACATTAAATCCCCTAAACAAAAATCAAAAAAATCAATTTAAATGCATGTTTTGTATTCCTCCTCTACAATATCCTAAATTGTTTGAAGTAAAAGTATGTTGAGGTTTATATGAAGCTTTCTTGGATCGAATTTGATATTTGTTGTTTCCAATATTATTTACGTACATAATTTACCCCAATTCTAATATTCGTCCTCCCACAACATATTCCTTCACTCCCAAAAAGATGTTAGTACCACGTCCCTGATTCAAGTATAGATTGCTTGTTTTGAAACAAAGCGAAAAAGAACAAAACAAAAAACCCTTTCGAATTATTCACTAGCTGCTGCTCCATTCGTTTAAAGTTTAATGGCGAAATTTGTTGTTTTGTGTTTTGTTTGTCAGACGACCACCTTTTGTTGTTTTTGTTATTGCATCGCGTTTTTTTCCTTTTCTTTATTGTTAATGGTTGTCTTTAGAGAAACTCAAGCGTTGCAAATAAAAGTTCTTAAATTACACTTTAAGTGTGGCGAGGAAAAAACACTGGAATAGGGAGACAAACTCAACGAAAGCCCCAACAACAACACAAAACAAAGTTACCAAATGACGATCAACTAGCCACTGTCACCACCGCCGCCGCGCCATCGGTTCGCCCTAAATACTTAAGACGTAAATAAGCACTTTATGACAGGGGTCTTAGCAGGGCTTTAGTGAGTTGTTTGTTTGTGTGCCTTGAAGGTGTTGTTTTATGCCGTTAAGAAAACCACTCCCACCCATTGTGGTCTGTCTGTGGCAAAGTCACCGCCACATAACCCGTTCGCCGTCCAAGGAGAGAGATAGAGGGGAAGGGGGATAATATGCAAATGATATTTACCATGAATTAGCACACAGACATTAGAAAATATCTAGTTTAGAAGCCCAAAGGGGAGAATTGTTCATGCTGGCTAGACCTGGCTAGGCAAAACGATTAAATCCAACAAACCGCCATTTGAGGACAAGAACAAAACCATTAGCTGCGGCATGGAGGCACATCAATAAAATTTCTTTAGTTGGTGTTGACTTCATTCGCACAAAGAACTGCAAGCAAAAAAAAAAAAAAAAGAAATTGCAAAATTCTATTTATTACAGGAATTGGCGCTAAGGTGAAAATGGCATGAATTAAGCAGTCGTAGTGCAATAATTCTGCAAATTTACCTTGGGCTTTGCGGCTGTTACAAATGTCCAAAAAAATGCATAAAAGGTCGCAAAAGCAATTCTTCTTGTTAAAAGTTTTAAATTGAAAATGATTTCCGAATATTTATTTTCCATTGGCATTTAAAGCCTGAGTAGAGAAAAACATTTTTTTTCCGAAATTCAAAAACAAGTAAATATT